ACAGCATTAAAAACAAAAATTCACCTTGAAAATTTTGTTTGAGGTGTTTCTTGTAAGCGAGCCTACTGCCTGGAAGAATGTAATCAGTTGCTCCAGATATTTGGGTCACTAAATGGATTTAAGACTCTTTCACAGCTATTTAGCTGGAACAAGAGGTACGGAGACTGTGGGGAAAGAGTGCACTACACGAGAAAGGCCTGTGTTTGTGCCCTTTGGCAGAGGCAGGCCTTTCTCTTTCAGTACTTCCAAGGCTTCTCTACCCAGAGAAAAATTCAAGGGTCTTGCACAGCCCAGAAATTTGAGATTTGCCCTCCATGCCCTCCTCTTTCTGGGGGAGACTGTTTAAATGTGGTCTGTCTCTGCTTAAATGGAAGTTCTGTTCTGAGCTTCCTCTCCCTGGGAAGACTAAAGACAAGTACTTCTCAAGGTGGAGTTACTCTGTCAAGTAAGAGGTGTGCTGTATAGCAAATGCCCAAACATTATGAGCTGGGGGAAAGAGCAAAAGGAGTTCTTAAATTATTTAGTTTTAGGAATTAAAAAAAAACATTTAAGAATATATACATAGGTGTGCGTTGTGCTCTGTGTGTGACTGTGAGTCACATGAGTGACTGTGTCTCCACATGCACACATGCATAAGCTAATGAATAATCATGGGTGGGGTGGTAGGGTACAGCTATTCTGAGTGGTCAGCAGTTTGATCAAGGCTCCCTTTTTGCATCCCTTACATTCATTTAAACTTGCTAGGTATTCTTGGGACTCTAGTATAGTACCTATGACTGATATTCATACAAACTTTTGAAGAATTGATCTCTTGATTTTCTCACGATCCTCAACCAACCTAGCTTAGGCAAAACATTTAAAACAGAATTTAGGGGGAAATTTTGTAAGGGCTGAAGGGCAAATTTAAATTTTTTGACTGTGAGCCCTTTCCGTTGACAGTACCTCCACAACTGGGGTATACCTTCTTGAATAAGTAATCAGCAAACACAGAACAGGACTTATGCTTTTTATGTGATACAAGATCAATCATGTGGTGTCTTCATAGGTACTGGGTAGGACATTGATCTTGTCATCAGTGTTTTAGATCTGGGGGTCTTAACAGGCCAGGCTCACCAAGTCATCCCAAAGTGCCAATCAGAAAACCAGCAGTGGTGCAGGGCAGTACAAAAGCTTAATCAGCATGGCCACATGAGGAAAAACAGATAAAGAGGTACAAGATCCTGTCTTAGGGGAGCTGACAGGAACTTTGAGGGTTTTTGTTTGTTTTTTTTTTAACTTTGAGGTTTTATAGAAAAATAGAGCAAAGGCAAAGGCTGGGTATGTGCCTAAGTGAGGGCTTTGCACAGCTGGCAAAATAGGTAATCCTAGTCAGGGAATGGTCTGGTTGATCAATGTCTTTAGGAGAGCCATCATTCTTGAAAGGGTAATAGTTCCCATGTAAGTAATCATGCATACTCAGGACAGTCTCATTATGGAATGGTCTGCTCTGCAAGGCTTGCATTGCTTGGAGTATTTTTGGTCCCTTGTCATAAAGATGTCTAGCGAAAAGACCTATTCATTCCTAGAATCTAAGGTGACTACAGAAGAGAGTGACTCAGGAAAAAAAAGTTATAAGGAGGTAAATGGAACCAGGAAGGAACAAAATGGAGTTAGTTAGGCAGGGACTGGGCTTTCCTTCAATCTGAATTTTTTTCTGCCTGCACAGAAATTTCTATAAGCTATGTTTTTGAACAAATGGCAATGCTATCTTGTTTGTTACTTATCTCTTTCTCTGAGAAAAGAATTTAAAAAAAAATTTAGTAACTACTTGTGGCTTTACTATGCATAGAAGAAGTACTTTAAATTGTGCTAGAGAAGTGATAAGTAGTTGTTTAATTCATGGGCTTCTTTGGTGTCACCTGCTGAAGGCAATGAAGAATATGTAATCCTGTGACATCAATACTACAGTCATACTGATTTATAATTTTCAAAATATGGTGTCTCTGAGTCACATTCATTAGGGCATACTCTTTGAGGTGGTTTTTCCCTAATGATGATGAATTCATGCTGACTCAACTCTTCTTCCAGAGTCTTTTGTGTACCCAATAACTTTCATTTGCAAGACAAATGGCTGGTTCAGCAGCAGTCTGTACAGAAATGAGAGAAGTAAACTAAGCCAGGTAAATAACTTGAGAGTCTTTTTAAAACTTAAACTGAGTTATACTGTTTTCATTTTTCTGTTTGGGGGATTTGTGAATATGTAGGGGCAAAGTATAAAATTTCGTAAGAAATGTACAAAATTAAACCACACTTAGTTTTGCTTTTAATCACTCTGCTTAGAATGCACTTATGAAATGTTGAGAATGGCCCAGAGAATTTCAGACAAATCTCTTTGAATTCTGACTTCTTTCTGAACCTCAGCCTGTTCTTCAGTTCCATTTGGATGGCCTTCAGGCATCCTCTAGCTCAATGTGTCCAAAAGTAAATTCTTTATCTTCTTTCTCAAACCTCCAGCTGTGCTTGTTCTCTTGGTCTCTACTGTTCTTCCCAAGCTTGAGTCATCTTGGTCTCCTTTCTCTTGTCCTCCTGTGTCACAAGTCAGCCTCCTATGCCACTACCTCTTCCTGCTGTACTCTTCATTCCAGAGCCTCTGCCTTAATTCAAGTCTCCACCATTTCTCCCAAGCAAAACCTGTTTGGATGCATCTCCCTGACGTGCAACATAACTGTGGGTTAGCATACACACTCTTTCCTGGTTTGTTCTCACCTAGAATTAGCTCCATCCCATTAGCTACTCTCACATGGAGTCCCTTCACAACTCTAGCCTTTGAATGGGCCACCCCTGCTTCTCTGCAAGCAAGCATTGATTCACCAATGAAAGAATCAGAGAATGTCTACTATATGTTTATTCTTGAGTAGATCTAATTTTACTCTTAAACCTGTGCAGTGTTAGTCCATTGGGTCTGTCTTCTAAGTGTTTTCCCCTCTGTATTCCTCCATGTACATTCTCAGTCTCTGTTATCTCCCCTGCCACCATAAACATATACAATTTTCTTTTTACTGTATCTTTTATTAAGAACCTTCCCTAATTTGTAGCAGAATTTTGATTATCACCACCCAAATACTCAGCTTCAACTCTTACAGCTCTTTCCTCTCAGCCCTAGTGTCAGGACACCGTGGCTCTTCTTCTTCTAAAAGATACCAATAAAGGAACTCTGCTATTAAAAGCAGTGGTGCCCATTACTCTTTAATAATCTCATGATCACCACCCCTGCTGGTTGATCTCGTCTGAGCTGACTGCTGACTGCTCTGTTGCTCCTGTAGAAGGTAGTTGAAGTCACCATGATCCTAGCCCGCAAGCAGAACAAATGAGCAGAAACCTTAGTTGATCATGCTGACAGGATTCCCTCCTCCTCTAGCCACACTACACACTGGGTATGGGTTACCAGTGAAGGTCAGCACTTTGAGCAGCTCAAGGTGATTAGTCTGGCAGTGCTGCTTCCTCCAGGGAAGGCTGAGGAGGAAAATCACATGAGCTCAGGGAGTGTGAACCACACATATGGCAAATCTTCCCATGAAAATTCAGTGAAACAAATTTATCATGCGACATGATGACAGGATTTGCTAAAATAAGGAGCTTTACAGTTGAGGTTTTCCTCAAGTAGAAAACAATAAACATAAAAACCCCCTATGAAAATTACCCATAGATCAAACAGTAGTTATTAGCATTATAAGATATGCACATTGTTGTGAGTGAATGGAATGAGCTTTTATTTCCTTCTGTTCTATCATATGCTTGTTTATTTTGTGTGTTAAAGTTCAAAATTATGGCATTGAGTGTTCTTTTGTGCTGATTATTCCATTACTCTTCAGAATTCTTTGGATACTGGAAAATCTGGATGTGCTTTGATGTCCTTTTTTGTAATAGAGCCTTGAGATTCACTTATGAAAGATTTATGTTGATAGGGTGTTAGCATCCATGAGAACCTAATTTTAACTGAGCCTTCCTACCTAAATATTTAGAAGTTCAAGTTTAATCATATGATTAATTCAGGGCTCTAGTTTCCTTAATCCTATCATTACTAGATCAAAAACTTTAAGCAAGACTGACTCTAGAGTTTGTTGGCTCCACTAACACCTTCTACTAAGATTTCATCCCTTTTCCTATATAGTTCTGGTCACAATCCCTTAACATTTATCACTTTAATTACACCCTATGCCTGAAAGCAACAGAAATATTCATTGAAGTCAAGGTGATAGAGTTAAAACTTTGAGTGGTTTGAGAACCAGAGGAAAGGGAATCTTATAAAAGTAATCATGGTATGACAATGCTATCGAATCATAGGGAACTATGGAGGGCCATAAGGTGTGGAAATCAGATCTGCATGCCAGTGCTACTGGTCTGGTGAGTTGTTGTCAGTCTTGGAGCTAAGGTGATGGCACCTGCAGCCTGTCTGCTGACTAGAGAGCTGGCTTGAGTCAATGCAATGCAGTTGAGGGAAGATATGATGCAACTTTTCTTTGTACCATCTTAGAACCTGGATGCAGTAATATCTTCAGAAGGCTTCAGTTGAGTCCTTGAGATAGAGACCATAGAGGAAACTACATACTTTTGGCTCTTCCCATTCAGCCACTGCACCTTCTAAACCTCTAACCAGACATTGTGTTACATACCTTTATGTGTATGTCAATGCTTGGGTCCATATATGTATAGACTTAGGTATATAGCTCTCCTAAATCCCATTTTTAAACAAGAGCTCAAGAATGCTTGGATGTAGATACCTGTGACCTTTTCCCAGTCATATTTAGAATTTGTTTTAACAAAGTTTTGGAGACAGACTTGAAGGGAGACATCCCCAACCTTGGTAAAATGTAAGTACAAAAAGACACAAATTGGATGGATATTGATGATGTTGTATCTATTGGGACATCATCCATAGACTCCTAGTGTCTTTGCTTTGCTTCCCTGTAGTGATCACAACATAAATTACTTGTCTTGTTTGACTTCCTTGTTCACCAAAGTTGAGCAGATTGTGGCCGTTTTCAACGCTTCTACCAGACAAAAAGCTTGGGACCATTTCTCGAAAGCTCAGCGCAAGAACATAGACATTTGGCGAAAGCATTCTGAGGTTGGTGATTTTATTATTTCTTTTTAACCATCATCACACAGCTGGATTGGCAGAGATTAGTTGTGGCTGCAGCCATTATGGTTTTTGTTATCGTGGGCAGTCCTCTTGCCATTGTCCTGTCTCATCTTCAGCTCCAAATCCAGCTCAAATTTGTTCTTTGTCCAGAAAAGCAGCTGACTTCACACATAGAACACATTTTTCCCTGCCAAGGGAGAAAAGAATCTTTCCCATCATAGTAAATAGCTCAGAAATAAACCAAGACACTTTGCCTAATTAGCTTGAAGAAAGCTATCACCTAATGTAGAAACTAGTTTTTAAATACAGATTTTTTTCAGTGTTCTATGTGATGATGACAGTTTGCTCTTTGGGTGAGAAGTGGCAAATATGCCTTTCCATTGTTCTCACCATAAGCCATGTCTTGGTCCCCTGTGCTAACCCTTAGGTTCTATCACACCTCTCACCAGAGCAGATTTCCCAAGGGGTGTAACTGTCCAGGCTAGCTGAGTCCACCCTTCAGCATCAGTGCATATGTGTGAGTATCCACCCCCAAGGAGTGAGTCCAGAACTTGACCTAAAAGACCCAGGGACAGACCAAAATGTGTCATTAGTCATTGGTCACCCAGCTGTTATTTTTAAACTCCACAGTGTAGTGTACGCTTTGAACCTGTAATTTAAAAGTAAGTATACTGTCTTTGCTTGCTTCTTTTTCTTTTAAATAAGCGAATGTTTTCATCTGGATGCCTCTTCATCTCTAGCATGTTAATATTAAAGTTCTCTTAATGATAGTCCCCTTTTTCAAAATCACAAACTTATAGAAGGTAAGGTTTATTCATTTAATAATTTTGGCTCACATTTGTAAAATAAGTATTTTATAAAGAGTTTGAGGAATCACAAAGTACTGTGATATCAATCATTTGGGTAGCATTTTAAGTGCCCATTAACTAATGCTAAATTACAATTGAATACCAATGGCACTAGATGTAACACCCACATGAATACCAAATGACTTCTTTATTATCACTGTTATTATGGTGAATACTGAATGACTTTACAATAATGGGACACTTAAAATGCTAGGGTAATTTGTTGCTAAAATGGGCATTTAAAAAATTTTGTTCACTAATGCCTAAAAAAGGTGGTTGGTGACTGTCTGATGGTGTTTTTCTGTTCAGGATTATGAATAAGGAGGAAGTGGGATTTCTCTTTAATTTGGGGTGGGTCCCAAAACAAAGCATGCGCTGATGTTCTGATGTTCTCCCTGACACTGTCTAGGAGACCCAAGTCAGGTTGACTTTTCAGGAGGAAAAAAGAGTTCTCTGTTTACCATGTAATATAAACATTGAAGGTTATGAAAACACAAATTGGAATCCATAAACTGTGACTCTGATATGGGAATGATAAGTCTTTGAATGATTTAATTTTTTTCTTCACATAAAACCCAAAAGTGATGAACAGAAATTTTAAGAGAAAGGCTGGTAGCATGATGCAGAATAACCATGGGTATGAAAAAGCCAGCATTAGTGTGTATCAGCAAATATCAGATTTTGCTCTAAATTATACTTCCTGCCATCTCTGACTCCACTTCCCACCGTCCTTTTTAACTACCTCCCCTTAGATTGGTGCAATACTATCCAAAGCAAAACCTACAAGTTTTCTTGATTGGCCTGAGAAAGCTGCTTGCTCTATCTGCTTGGTCGTGGGGGTAGAAATGTCTGCTCCAGAGGGATGGGCGGAATATAGTCCTCAGAGGTCCTCCTGTAAAGGGTCTCCGTGCCTTCCTGCCATCTCCGCTGCCTCTTTTGGACTACATTAGGAAATGAAACTATAAATTACCTTTGATTTTCTCTCCTACATGTTACTTAATTGATTAAATACCACTTGCTAATTTAACATTGTGGATGATTTCTCAGTTGCATATAAGCTTGATAATTGGCTTGATTTTTTTCCACATCCCCTTGTACAGCATCTGTTAATTATCTTCAACACCTCTACAAATTTATTAGTGTACTAGTTATTTACTGCTGAACCAGAGGCAGCCTGTGGAAACATCCTCAGTTTTTCTTCCCCATAATGTTTTTCCATTCTGCCACCCTTCCCCACAGAAACAACTATTGTATAACAGTTTGTCATTAATTGTAAGGACTAAACAACAGGCTCATTTATTCCTTCCACCTGACTTTTCCCTGTTTCAAATGCTTTTAAACTACCTCTTTAGAAATTAGACTTTGTTAATAAAAAAATTAGCTATCCGCCACCTAAAAATTTCCCCACTAATCACATGTAAACACCTCCCTCCAAGATCTGTAGAACTGGCAGAACTGGCATATCTTTCATATAGGTCGTGTGGTCGAATAAGGTGTCTGTCATCCTAGTGGTCTCTTGGCTGCCCTGTGACTGCCCCTCCCCAGACCTTGCCAATCTGCCTTGTCCCTCTTCTGTCCTTTGCAGGGTACAGAGGTGACCATTCAAATACTTTTAGCAATAAATAATTTCCTTTCCATCATGCTGCAGTTAAAATCTGTGAGCTCAGTAGAAAAGGGAATGTAGAGCACCTTCAACATGAGGTGATAGATCCATATCAAATGGCCACTAGAAGTATGTTTAAAGGCATGCTACTCATAAATTAGGTGAATTGCCGGGATTTAGCTCAGTGGTGCCGCTGCCTGCCCCATAAATTAGGTGAATTAACTTAGTTTTATTGTTACTCATAGGTTTACTGAAAGATAAAATTATTTTAACTATTGAACTTTTATTTAGAGTTTTCAATATAAAGGAGGAGAAAAGAATAGGGAAGCCCTTTCCATGTTTTAAGTCTTTTTGAAGACTATGTAAGGGAACAGAATGAAAATGGATTCACAAAAATACACAACTTGGTGTAAATAATGTTGCACTTGTTTAACATAAACAGTATAATGTCCTCATTTTAGACATAGTAGCAGAAAAATTGTATAATTCTTTTACAATGGGCTTTCACATAAGCTATTGTATTCAAACAGCCTTGTATTATTATTATTATTTCCCATTATAGGTGAGCAGACAAAGGCTCAAAGAAGTTGAATCACATGATTACAGTCACTCCCCTATTCAGTGCAGACAGTAACATATAATCCTAAGATCTATAGCTCCAAAAGTGATGCTGAAGCAGCCATCACCACAAACCCAAAACCTCTGCATGATAATGTGAAACCCACAAAAAGAAGGCATCCATTTATTTTGTTCCCAAACCACTTCAAAGCTTAAATTTTGGCTATCTGGATTGCAAGAGTATGTGTGTGATCACACATAAGCCCATGCAGAGGTTTTGTGTTCATGTGGAAATAGCAGTAGTCAATATTATCTTAGCAAAACAAATGTCTAGAATAAGAATGAGTCTTTTACATGCATTAACTCATTTCATCCACAAAACCCTCAATATCATAATATTCTAGTGAGAAAAATTGAGGCTAATATATATGAAGAAATGATCTTAAAATGAAACCATGGGCCAGTGGTAAACTAGGCTTTTTAAAATCTCCATTACTCCTGTTCTTAGCCAACAGCTGTAGTCCCTGCTATGAGCCAGCCATATAATCGGTATTTCTGTGTAATCCTTGCAAAAGCCCTGCTAAGTATATGTTATTATCCCCTTCTTTTTTTTTTTAAACAAACAAGGAAGTACACATTCAAGAGAGGTTAAATATTTTGCTGAGAAGCCCTTAACTAGTCTTTGGTGAATAGGAATTGATTTCACTTTACACTAAAGCATACCTCATCCCCCTCAGAACTTCGTTCTAGATTAGGTGGAGTGATATTTGGGTAAAAGCTTCAGACTATCAATGTTAATATGTCAGTCATAATATACCCAAAAACCATTGGAAAATTGTATGATGAAGTGTGTCCTAGACTCTGACCTTCATATATCCTTTACTTTCAGGAGCTCCGTAACGCTCAAAGTGAGCAGCTCATGGGCATCCGCCGCGAAGAAGAAATGGAAATGTCTGATGATGAGAATTGTGACAGTCCTACTAAAAAAATGAGAGTCGATGAATCAGGTAATGCTGCTAACTGCCACATACCCATGAGGTATCATAATGAGCATCCAAATCTTAGACTGGGAATAAGTACTGGAAAATGGAAACATAACTCACTTTGATTGGAGTTATACTAAACTTTTATCTTTGAGTGACTCTGCCTTTTATTAATAGGACTTTAAACTCTTTCTTAGGAACATAGTAATTTAAATTCCTCCAGTTGTTTCTTCATATGTAGATCTGGAGCTGTTATACTTTTTTCAAGGATACTTGCCTGTTCCTATAAAAATTCTTTTCCAGAGTATGGCAGCCCCAGCCAATGCCGAACTACAGATAAAATTTGATTTTAGTAGTGTACTTCTTACTTGAGAATTGTTTAATCTCTAAAGAATCTTTCTAGCCTCTGAGCTAATATGATGGAAATAAGACTTTTTCCTCTAAAAATTTTGGTTCACCTAACCTGTAATCAAAAGGGTAGCCCCATTTGGTACCACACTAGGGGTATCATTCAAACTTTGAGAAGGAGGAAAGTTTAGAAAAGACCTTGTTTTGTGTGTTCTGTCCAATCTGAGATGCTAATTAAAACTCTCTCCTTGAATCATGTATAAATTCTTTGGAATTGTAACAGTAGGCAAGGAAATGTTTATTCAAAATCTGTGACACCAAGAGAAACAACTTGTCTGAAGGGAATGGGGTTGTCTAAATGACCTGAGAAGACTCACGGTTGCCACCATTGCCAGAAAAGAAAATTAGAAAAATGGTGCAGGTTGGATCTGTCTTTTCATACATATCCATGAATAAAATCCATGCCTGTCTCAGGTTTTTGAACAGAAAGGTTGCTGGTGACTAGAAATAGAGTTTTGCTAATTTGTTGGTAGAAGTATAGGAACAAAAGTAAAAGTTCTTTTTGCTTTCTGTGTTCATTAAAATGAACTGAAAAAAGACTAAATAGAACAAAGGGTACATAAATTTATGGTGTACAGGGAGGTGACCACAATGTGTAATCATTTACTAGTCCAATAGGATTCAGAAGCTTGTATACCTCTTCCCTCAGCAAGGAACAGAATGGGGAATGGAGACAATTTTTAGAGAAATAGTAAATTATTTTTAGGTGGGCTTGTAGAAAGATACACTCTCCTGAGACAAAGCCCCAGTGGGTCCACACATAAGACAATGGATTGTAAATGTTTCTCTCTGGAATGTTGAGTGGGAGCAAAATAAAAGACAAGAATGAGTGACAAAAAGCTGTCCATGTGTGTTGACAGATTTAGTCTCTCTTCCTGCAATATGGGTTTAGTTATGAAAGCTCAGGGAGTGGACCAGAGATAATTGTGTTCTTCCTTGGGGAGTCAGCTTTTAAGTGGACAAGGAGATGTCAGATGCAATCTGTCTGTTAAAAGCCTCTTCCAGCAGCTATTGCTCTCTTAACTTCCTGTGACTTAAGATAATCAGGACTCTGGGATATTTTAGATGATGTCCATGGATGCACTTAGAAGCCAAAATCAAGATTCCAAAAATATCAGGTCATCAAGATTGCAGAGGGGTTCAGATAATCACAAAAAAGGCCCTGCATCCAGGTCATACTCAAGGGGCTTTAATTTCCCTGAAGCAGTGCTTCTCAAAAGTGTGGCGCCTAGTTTATATAAACATCACCTAGGAACTTACTAGAAATATAACTTGAGGCTCATCCCCAACTTACTGAAATCAGAAACTTCTGGAGGGTGGGCAAAGGAGATTCAGCAGTCTGTGATTTAAGCCCTGCAGGGAATTCTGATTGATGCATACTGGAGTTTGAGAACCACTGCCTTAGTAAATTTGCCTTTCATCCTCAAATTCCATTCATTTAAATCTCTTAGAAGCTTAGCATACAAGTATGCAGCATGCCACTACTTTCTGAAGCCATATATCCTTTGTCCAAAAAATAAACCTAGCATTTATGTGTCAATGGATGGCTCTTACTAAGCTCATAAAAGATTTTTCAGGAGTGTTTTACTATGGGGTTTAGATTTATTTGAGATCACCTTTCTTACAGCATTTCAATTCTACAAGCCTTCCTATGTCAAAAGAAGGAATAGTTAGTGTGACTTTTAAAAAATTCATTGAGATCTTGAGAAAGTTTTGTCTCTAAAAAGCTTTCATCATTTTTGAAGTTTATTGATGAGGGTCAGGTTTACTTGAGACTTAGAACTTTAACATCCTTAGAAGGTAGAAGCAAACAATTGAGTCAGTCAGAAATTTTGATTTGAACTTGTGCCTTTGTGTGCAGGGATGACATTTCTTTTTAAACGACTTTATCAATTTGCAAAGGTAGCAGTGTGTATAATTTCATAGTCTGCTTAGGATGGAACTAGAATGATTGATTAGTATGTTTATGGGAGGCCCCGCAAGCCAGGGCAGCATCACATCCCTACCGGACCAGCGCCTGACCTGTAGCAGAAGTGTTCCATGAGATGCCAAGAACTTCTACTCCAGCAGAGTCAGAGATCCTCTATGGGGCTCAATGAATGAGCACTGTTCATGACCTCATCCCCTAGGCATCTGATGAGAATGTGAAGTAAAACCTGAACTTATAAAAACCTTTGCCAGGCTAGTTACTTGGTCCACAGAGTTAATAAGCAAACACAACCTGCACATGTTGTCTACTAGCACTGAGGGAAGAGATAAAAGAACTGGAGTTCAAATGCCAGGCCCCAACCAGTTCAGTCTTTCTCATGCATTTCACAATGAGCTGGACCGGAGGATGTGGCCTGTGGTCTCAGAAGAAAGCACAAGACTGATTAAAAGGAAGGTGAAGCAGCCAACCTTTTTTATTCCATTGGACCTCAAGATCCTGCCAAAAGGCAGGTAGTTGTTTTGCTTTCAACTCTGGGTATTCAGGGACAGGGACTGACAGCAAAAAAATTCCCATCTGGTCTTTTGTCTAGACTGCACAGGAATCCCTGCTAATGACTGCTTGAGGCAAGGGATGAGGAACAAGGGCCCATAGCCTGAGGGAAGCACCTTTCAGGAGTATCTTGTTTGGTAAGACAACACTCACCTTCAGGTACTAATTTACAACTGCCACTCACCTACAGAGAAGCAGGCCTCTTAGACTGTGGTGTCCTGCGTCATTGATGGAAAGTGCTGGATACAGAAAGAGTACCATTCTCTGTCTTCAGAGGAACTCCTTGCCTGTTTCCTCTCTCCTAAAACAATGCAATTTTGCTTCAGTCTCCTAGGAAAGTAGCCGGCCTAGGAATTCTTAGAAAGACCAGGGAAGAAAATCCTTTGCATAGAAGGAGTCCCCTGCCTGTGCTACGAGGATGGAGGGAGAGCACCCCAAAGGATGCTCCAGGCTTTGGCATCCTCTTGCTGGCTTTGCTTGTCCTCTCCCCACTACAGACTACTCTTAGAGTTTATTTCTGGAGGAGATGGAGATAATTAACTTTGTTTCTAGAAAAGGCACATTTTATTATGTAAGAACTTATATGATACCTTAGGTTTAGTTTTTATTAATAATCAAAACATTTCAATATATCTGCTTTTCTGGTCATGAATATTCCTTTGTACTTTTGCTTTTTACCACATAATTTACGACATATCTTTGGCTGCAGTTCTCTAGCACTGCAATGTAATTCTGGGCAGGAGCTTCATACTTCCTCATCCATTGATCTTTTTTTTTTTTTTTTTGGTACCGGGGGTTGAACTCAGGACTTTGTGCTTGTGAGGCAGGCGGCAAAACCACTGAGCTAAATCCCTAGCTCATCCATTGCTTTTAAGGGGACAAGGAGTTCCTGGAAGCAAAACTAAGAAGCTAATAAGAATAGAAATGTAAGGCAGGTCTGTGCACGCCCTACTGAGGTCCTGAGTCCCACTGAACATGCCCAATCAGCCCACTGCAGACAGGCAGCCACCTGGTTCCACACTACAAAGACGCAGAGGACACCAGACCACCAGACCAAGGTACTGAGTCCCGCTGCTTGCGGCCCAGAGGTAGGGGCTTCTGAGCCGTAGTCCCATTGATCCTGGTCCAGAGGAAAGGGCTTCCCGGTCACTATCCCTCCCGCTACTCCCAGCACAGAGGAAAGGGCTTTGGGCCACCTTCTGTCCTGCTGTTCCTGGCCCAGAGGAAGGGGCTTCCAGGCCACCAT